GCAACGAATCTCTTTTTCATACACTTTCATTCGAAATGTAGGTCCCCCTAATAATTTTCTTTCATACTGGTCATGTTATTTTTGCTCGATTGTATGAGTATGTGTTAGCGTCGAAACTCATTTTCTCTTCATATCTGGAAATAAAGAGTTATTTCAGCATGCTATTTCTTTCGGAAATGCCTTTTCTTAAAAGATTCCTCGGAGCGAATGACCTCCACATCTAAGAAAGATATGTATCCATCCTCTTCCACAACCGTGTTTAGATATTGTTAAAGTGAATGAAATTTAGCACATTTCTCTCAGTTGGCTAATTATGAATAGGGGGTGTTTACGATAAGCTATAGTTGTTCAGCTATAGAGTTGCCATTTTGCTTAGATTTTATATTTTTTCTATATTCAGATTACTAGTGTTCTGATTCGTTGTCTGCTAAGTTATTTAAAGGCGCTTTTGTCGTAGGACTTAGGGCTCTACTTATTTTATTTTATTCCAAATTTACATAGTTCGAATTCCTCTAATGGCTGATTGGACCTAGGTGAGGTTTAATCCATAGTCTTCCCACTCTTGTTATAAACTATTTTTTGATCCTTGTTACGATGAAATTAAACGCATACGATCTATGTTGACTCGTATTACCTGTGATACCATATAACAGACGGTGTGTCAAGATTGAAATTACTGATAATCGTGAACTTCTTTTTCAACTCCAAATTGTTTTTATTTCCTTTTTTTTCTGCTGTATGGATTTTCATGTATGTAAACTATAGCTTCCCACCAAATTTTGACGGGGTGCAAGAAAAATCGTTAGGATTCCTCAATTACACACTAGTTTCTTGTATCTGCCTGATTCTTTATTTTAGTACTTAACTTTGTGAATTTAATTACTTTTTCTTAAGTTTTTTATATCTGCTTAGCTCTATTTGTGTTATATAGATATTTTTATTTCTTGCTTGAAACATTTTCTTGTTGTTGCTCTATTTTTCCATGAGTTCTGCTTATGACGCTGGAACAGTAATTATTATTCCTATTTATTCCTCGTTGTCTAATTAATGGGCACTTGGATGACTGGATACGACTATAAATTCTCTATCCTAAAATAATTAAGTATATTTTTTGATTGTACAACAATAAAATTTTAATGATTTTTTAACCTTTCCAGTAAATTAACTGATGATAACATAGTGAAATTTTTGCAACCCTTTGCTTTTAGCTATCGACATTTCTTTAGAAAAGATTCTGTTTTTTATACTAAATTGGACTTGTTATCGTTTGGGCTAATTTAATTTAACATTATCTAAGAGTGGTTTCATATTTTTCAGAATGGCCCCTCGGGCTGATTTACCATCACTTAGGTGCAGTTTGGCGGGTGGTCTGACTGAATTTGGCCAACCCAGCTTATTCCTGGTAGCTGCTACTGCAGCCGAGTCTTTTGAAATGGAAGCTGCCGAGCTCATCCTGGATGATGCCGAGGATCTTACGGCAGCTGCTCTTCTTCTTGCGACTGGCAGCACTGGCTACAACCTACATTCACCAAATTCTCAGTCTACAGAAGCATCATCAGAACATTGTGACTCGGAAGAGTATCTGCCGGACCTCAGTGATATTCCTTTTTCTGCTTCTATTACAAGTCCCACATTTTGCACAGGCCTCGCTGAATCGGCAGCCAACTGCCCCGAGACTCCGAGTCTAGAAACTCAAACTCCAGATTCGGAAACCACCGAGACGGTGAATGCGACATCCACAGCGCTTCTGCATGGCCTGGCAGCCACTTCTATCGTGACACCAACTTCTGCCACCGAAGCTCAGCGGGCTGGTTGTCATTCTAGTCTGCTCACTGTCACCACTCTGGCTACCCACCTCTACTCTTCCGCACTTATACTTCCTTCTGTAAGTAGTGCTGGTTGCCTTATAATGCCCGGTCAAGCTAAGGCCCCATCCACACCTTCAATTGAACCAGAGCCTTCTGGGGCGGTCGCATCTGTGAATATATCTCATGGCTCCAGAGTTACAAACGTTCCCGCGATTGCTGTACCACTGCCTAATCCATCGTCATTCACATCAGCTTTGAAATCCGAAACTCGTGCCTCTTTTTTAAACCAAGATCTCTCTGCAGCAACAATGCTTCCGACCCATCTCATCGATCCCACCCATACCCCAGAGACTGAAACCTTTTCTGGGAAGCCTTGTGGCTTAGACGCGTTTATCGGGCAGGAGCTTGACAATGCATCTGGCATACATCAACCCCAACTTCGCAGGCTGGTCCAGCCTCAGGAACTTGGCGAACGTGTGATGCGTTTGCTTAGGGCCAGGTTAGCTTGCCCAAGCCGTTTTTTTATGCATGTCTTTATATTAACTAATGACATCTTATATTTGTCTTCTCATTCTTTTGGTCTTATTATTTAATACAAATGGTAGTATTGCCAACCAACATCTTTGACACGTCTAAACTGGCATCACCTAGTACACCATTCTTCCTCATTCATTTATTTAATTACCTTCTTGCATAGATTATTTCCCATTCTGATTCCATACCTAACAAACTGACGAAATTGCTACTATACTTATAAGCTTATTCATCCTAGGTCGCTTAACTTGATGATGGAGTTTCCCCACAATAACACGAGTAGGTCCTACGATGTTATTTACTTGTACTTAGCCACCCCTACCAAAAGGCCATAACTTACATTTTGTACTGCAATTCTGACCTCTCCTAAATCTCATTAGCATCCTTTGTGGGATTCGATTTCGGGTCGTAAGTATCATGACTACCCTACGACTCCATTGCACTTACTTGGATATCATATCTACCCTCTAAGCCACAGCTATTCAAAGCCATGCAGTGTGGTGGACTGGTAACATCGCCAATATACTTACGACTCAGTATCGAATCCCACTTGGAGTGATGATGAGACTTAGACGAGGTGGAAATTGTAGGTCACCCTGGATTACATATCCTTTCGGGGGGCTAGGCCGATTGTAATTTAATGGTATCCTGAAGTATATTTATCTTATTGTAAGAAAACTCAATTACTATTTCTTAAATCACCTTGGGCGACCGAGGATGGATAAGTTCTTGTTCTAGAATTATTGATGGCTCTGAAGATGACGTATATCGAAAGTAGTATACTTATGCTATGAAGGTCATCTTTACTGGCTGAAATAGTTATCTAGAAAGTT